CCCATCCCGTCCCATCAGTAACTCCTCAATGATGGCTGTTTTCCACTGTCCGCGTTTTATGTGGTCCTCCTGCAGCAAAACCAGATCTCCTAACTTCACCTGTAAATCAGCGTTCAGTTTCAGCTTATGGAATTCCCTCAGATCTGTTAAGTATTCTCTTTGCCATCTACTCCAAAAATGAGATAGTCTTCTAGTAACATACAAAAATCGTTTCGTTAATTTATCTTTAATATCCTCCTCGTCAAAAATTGGATCGATTCCCTCTGAAAGAGATGACAATCTATAACCATAAATAAGATGAGATGGTGTTAAGGTAGTTTCTAATTCATCATATAGATAAGTTAGAGGCCTAGAATTCAAAGTATTTTCAACCTCTGTTAATACTGTCTGTAGTTCATCAAATGATAATCTAGCATTCTTTAAGACCTTCCTTAGACAACGCTTCACGGATCCTACCATCCGCTCAAAGTATCCTCCCCACCACGGCGATAGGGGTAAATTGAATTTCCATTTGATCCTTCTATGCACTAAATATTCAACAAACGTATGATCCTTGGCAAGTTTGTTGAGCAGCTTATTTGCAGCCTTAAAGGTTTTAGCATTATCCGTGTTTATGAGTCTCGGTGTCCCTCTTCTAGAACAAAATCTTCGAAAACAATTCATGAATGTTAATGTATTCAAATCATCAATCAATTCTAAATGAATAGCTCTAGTTACGCAGCATGTGAACAGAGCTATATACGCTTTCCGCATGTCTCCCTGGCCTGTTTTTACAAACAAGGGTCCTGCAAAGTCTATCCCTGTGTTGCTAAAGGGTAAAGATTTAGTAACTCTAAAATCTGGCAGTGGCGCTGTATTAGGTGCAGGAAGCGCCTTTGCATCAAACCATTTACATGTTAAGCATCTATTTAATACTCTCTTAATTTGTTGTCTACCTCTTGGTACCCAAAACCTAGATCTGAGTTCTGCAAGGGTTGAACGAAGTTTGTTATGAAATACCCTTTTGTGGCAATCTTCAATCACAAGATCAGTAAATCTATGATCCCTAGGTAAGATTATAGGATACGTACTACCTATATCTAAATCTGCATTTTCTAACCGACCTTTGCATACTAAAACACCAGATTGATCAACTATGCCAAGTTGCACTGACAATGCTTGAAAATCTTGCCTATTTCTCAATGCCTTCTGCACATCCTTAATCCATACATGCTCTGCAGCTTCTATCTCCTCTGTACTCAAATTTCCAATGTTTAGGACTTTATTCATACTCCTTCCCCTTAAGTTATTTATAAACCTCAACACATATGCGGTCACTCTTAAAAGTTTACCAAGAGTTCCATGTCGTTCTACATCTACTATACTACCCACTCCAACTCTATCTGTGTTAGTTGTAAACAATGATGTAGCATTCTTCCTTCTTTCTACTTCAATATCCGCAGAGTCTACTGATGGTGAAAACTTAGGCCACTTACTTTCATCCTCACAAAGCCAAGTGGGGCCCTCCCACCATAATCTGGAATTCTTAAGGAGCGTAGCGGAGACTCCCCGGGAACCCAAATCTGCAGGGTTGTCTGTGCCAGCAACATGAGCCCAATCTTCTTTGCTAGTTAATGAGAGAATCTCGTTAACTCGGTGCTGGACAAACTGTTTCCATTCCCCATTATTGTATATCCAAAACAGGGCTGTCTTACTGTCTAACCAATATTTTACCTTATCAAACTGAATCTGTGGGCTTAATGCATTCTTAACTGTATCCATTAATGTGGCTAATACTCGAGCAGACATTAATTCTAGACGGGGTATGGACAATGGTTTTAAAGGCCCAACCCTGGTCTTGGCACTTAACAATTTAGTATATGTCCCTTGTTCAGTCACACAAACGAGATAAACCATGGCACAATAGGCTTTCTGACTGGCATCTGCAAACCCATGTAGCTGATAACTGAAAACATCCCCCTTCCTGTCCTCTAAAACACATCTAGGAAAGGAAATTGTCCTAGTTTCCCTAAGATCTTCAAGCCATGTTTGCCAAACCAAAACCTTTTCTTGTGGAAGAGTATCATCCCATCCCAATTTTTCTAAGCACAGCTCTTGGAAAAGAATTTTTGCCGTGACAACCACTGGACTTATCAACCCAAGTGGATCATAGAGTGATGCTAAAGTACTAAGAATACCTCTCTTAGTTGCACAAACACTATCGTCTGCTTCCTTGCCTACCTTATAGAGATCAAGGTCTAGTCTGTCCTTCTCTATTTCCCAACTGATACCTAAAACTTTTGTTTTTCCTTCTAAAGTATCTAACCCTAGTGTTTCCTTAGCATAAGACTCTTCTGATGATACACTGACATCCTTTACTTGCATTTCATTGCCTTCTGTATCTGCTATTTCCTTAGCTACCTCACTACTGTTAGTCTTCCACTTTCTTAATGTAAATCCTCCATCTTTCATTCTACTCTTGGCCTTCCTATAGAGATCTACTGCCTCAGAACTATCCTCACACCCAGTCACTAAATCATCAACAAAGAAACCTCCTATCAACTTGCTAACAAACTCCGGATCTTCTTCCTTATACTTCTCTATATGATTCCTAAGTACACAATTAAGCAAAAATGGAGAAGAATTACATCCAAAAACAACTCGATTAAATCTATATACTATAACTTCTGAATCAGCATCATTTATGTCCTTATACCACAAAAATCTAAGACAATCTCTATCTTCCTTATGTATCTCTATATTGAGAAATGCCTTTTCTATGTCCCCTACAAGAGCAACAGGATTAATTCTGAATCTGAGAAGGACATCAAGGATCATTGGGGTAAGTGATGGGCCAACATGCAAACAATCATTGAGGGATACTCCCAACTTCCTATCCTTACAAGAAGCATCATATACTATCCGCACTTTGGTTGTTTCAGCATTTTCCCTTATCACAGCTCTATGTGGGAGATAATGCACTTTCCCCTCAGGTTCAAGTTCTGCTACTTGTTCTATTATGCCCTCCTCTACTTGCTGGGAAATTATTTCATCATACTTCTTGAGAATTATTGGGGTTTGCCTTAACTTCCTAACCTGGCTCTTCATTCTTAGCATACTGATATTGTAATTGGTTGGTAAAGGCTTATGACCAAGCTTCCATGGAAGACCAACTGAGTATCTATGACCTGTAAACTTAATATTATCGAGAACACCTTCATGTACCTTATTGGCCTCTCTAATGCCTATACTATCAAGATCCCATAATCTATTAAGCTTATAATCAAGGTCTAGGTTCCCTACACTGGAAAATTTAGAAGTTTCATCAATGCAAAAATTAACCTGGCAATCTGAAGAGTAAATATGATCAAGTTTCTTACCTTTGAGAGGTCCAGATAGCACCCATCCAAGACTAGTCTCTACAGCTACTGGTTCTTGTTGCCCCCTCGTATTGTTCTACCCTCTTGGAAAGACCAAATCCAATCTGAGCCAATGAGACAATCAATTTCCAACCTATCTTGTTTCCTGCAATAGTCTGAAAACCATACATGCTTTAAATGCTCATAATCATGCTTAACCGATTCAACATATGTTAGGAATTGAAGAAATGTCTTTAACTACAAAAGCCTCAATAAAAACATTCTTCCCTCCATTCAGTGGACTGAGCGATAACTCTACTACATCTCTCTCAGCCACATCTGCTTCTCTACTCCCAAAAGCCTTTATTCCTAAAATCTCTTTCCGCACTGGCCTTAATTCATTTTCGCAAACAGCTTTTTCTGTGATGAATGTTTTGTGACTCCCTGTGTCAAACAAAACTCTCACTTTACTTTCCCTTTTATCATTCACCACAGCCAACGCTGTTTGCAAGGCCACTCCCCCTTCAGATCCAGTACTTCCCACCCAGGAAGATGCTTGGGGGTTGAGGGGTGCGCTGGGAGCAGTATCATTACGCAACGAGTCCTTAACATGGCCTAAATTAGGACAAATCGAAACATGGTGATCGTTTTTCCTACATAACGAACATTCTTTTCTAAGCTTACATTTGAAGGCTCGATGTCCTTGTTTAAGACATACAAAACATCTAGCAGTCTTAACTAAAATTTTCTTACGATCCTCCGGATCTTTGATCTTCTGGCATTTGGTCGATTCATGGAAGGCATGGCAAAACAAACACTTCTTGTTATCATTACCACTGGGGTTTTCCCTTTCGCTCAACAGTGCTGCGGTTGTGGTTCTAGAGTGGTGCTTCATTTCTGCCCTCCTTCCAGCCCCTGTCTGGGGGAACGGTTGGTTCATTATTGGGAAATGTCCTTCCAGCACGTCCAATTCCTTCTCGAATGCAACCAACATTTCGCCCAAATTCCATTCCATGTGATTGTCGCCAAATCTTATCATATTGTTCCTTATGCTCTCCGGGATCTTCGGTTGACGAAAAATAACATGCCTCAGTTTGAGGTAGTAAATAAAGTATAATTTATGTCAAAATAAATTACGTAAACTTTTATGCTGCCATCTTTAAACATTCGGTTGTCGATTAATTATCGATACGATTAACGAAGATGGAGAATTCTGACGCTGGTCCAGTTCATGAGCATGACTTGTTAAAGTAGGCTTCTTTAATGAAAATTTTTTAACCTTCTCCCAAATCCACTAAATACTTCTGTTATAAAAGTTAAGCTGCAATTCAAAAGCACAGTACTTTCTTGGTACTTTCATGTCAAGTGTATTGATGCGGAATAGCTGATAAGAACTAGAAATAAATGAAGAAAATTTCACTGTGACAATAGTCTCTTGCCTCTCCACCGAAGTTATGAGGCTAAGCGGAGGAGAAATCATATGCCTGTTATATGCGGAGGAGAACTATCATGAATTATCTCCCACCTCAAACTGAGGCATGTTATTTTTCATCTACCGGGATCTTCGACATCAGCACTGGCACAACAGCGCTGGAATATGACTCCTTGTCGATCTCTTGTGCTTCCATCGCACGAAACTTCGTCTCGATTTGATCATGGAGATTACGTAATCGATTTGCGTTTTTTTTCGCTGAATACGGCTGGCAGATTTATTAGGTCGTTGATTAATGCTCTTTTGATGACATTTGTCTTGCCAAACCTCTTCGTTAACAAATCTACCGCAGCATCGTAATTAGCATCGGTTAACGCAAATCCCGTGATCACGCTCCGGGCTGGCTCTTCAAGGTAACAGCGCAAGTATTTGAATTTATCTACCTTGGCTAAATCTTCATCGTCGTGGATTGCACTTTTGAAGCCATCCCAGAACTCTTGCCATTCAGGAATATTCCCCGAAAATTTTTTCAATTCCAGCTGCGGCAGTTTGACTTTCCTATGATAGCCTCTGGCCGAGCTTGTGGATGACTCCATGGAGCTTACACTTTCCAAAGACGAGCTTCTCTGAAGATTTGGTTTGGTCTGCGGGGTTGACGATGAATTCTTTTTTAATGCTTTTTCCAACAAGAAAATGTTGTATGTGACCTTCTCTCTAATTTCATTTGCCTCTTCTGCTTCCTTCTCGCAGGCCTCGTCGTCATTGTTCTCAAACATTATCTCTAAAATGCCATCGTCCAACTCTTTCAAAGTGCCCAATTTCTCTCTTATATCACTGAGCAGTTGCTGAATCCTGATAACATCGACATCCTCTTGCTTTGAAATATCGTCAATTTTGTTCACTGTTTTCGTTGTCGTTGCACGATACGTTCTTCGTTTCTTCTTCAGCTTCTCGAGAGCGTCTGCCATATCCAACTCTGAAATTTCTATCTTGGTTCGGTGGACCAGTTGTTAAGTATTCTTCAAGCGCTAGTTCAAGATACGTATTTAATTGCAGAGTTGTGCTCAAAAAGAAACATCTTCCAGGTTCAACATCAAAAATTTCAATTCTGAGACTTCCATTCTGTTAACTCTAGTCTCAAACTCTCTACTCTAAGTTAAATCACACGTGCATATATACGTTTTACAATAAGTATAAAAATAGCGTAACCAATAGGAATTAAGAAAAACAATTCGTCAAACCAATCAGATTTTACCAAAACATAAAAAATTAAATCTCTCTAACAATAGATTGACGCCAATACTCAATACCTGTGAAGCTTGAATCTTGAGTCAGTTTCCTAACGACTCTTGAAACGAGGTTATTACGTGCATTACGTGCATTAAAGTCATGTGTAAAGAAAATACTTAGAGTCAGAGCTAAAGCCGATAAGCTCAAACTAAATGAATGAAATATTGTTAACTACATCCATACAAAAATAATAATTGCTGTGCGTGGAGTTTTCCCTGACAATACTGGAACGCTCGGGATCGATCCACTATCCGCACTAATTTGGTGTATTCCGGTTTGGGATCGATCCCGTCTTGTGTAAACGCTCGTGTATAAGGTATTATCGATTCCCGATTGGCACTGATAGGAAACGAGGCTAATGTTATTTGCAATTCGAGGTGTTTTGAACATGGTACTTTGACCTTTTATTTGTCAGATTTTGTGCGCCTTTTTCGTTTTTAAGATGAGAAAAACAAAACAAGATCAAGGTGGTTTTCTATTTTGTCACGAGTTTATTGATAAATTTAGCAAACAGGCTCCAACTTATGATTTGGTTTGTCCTCCAGTGTGATCTTCAGGAGTAGGGCGGTTTCTTTATCGCTCCAACTAAACATTTTCTTGCTAATTTTCAAATTAGAAGCCATTTTCTTCTCAATATTCATACAAGTTGATGACATAAGCAATATGCACGAGTATTCCTTTCAAAAAGGGCCTGGAAAGCAGTGCGCTCCGATCTGGGATTGAACCTGTGTAAAAACAATATATTTTGGAATCGATCCCATGTCAACTTCGATCGATCCCAAACTGGATCCAAATGAGATTGATCCCAAACTGGATCAAAATGAGATCGATCCCAAACTGGATCCAAATGAGATCGATCCCAAACTGGATCCAAATGAGATCGATCCCAAACTGGATCCAACTGAGATCGATCCCAAACTGGATCCAAATGAGATCGATCCCAAACTGGATCCAACTGAGATCGATCCCAAACTGGATCAAAATGAGATCGATCCCAAACTGGATCCAAATGAGATCGATCCTAAACTGGATCCAAATGTGATGGATGCCAAACTGGATCGGTCCCCTTTTCCCCTTGTAAACAGGGCCATAGTCACCATTGTTACTGTTTTATAGAACGACCTTAAAACCCAAAGCCTTTAAAGTGTCCCATTTCTTTGTCTGTTACATAATTTCCAGTTGTTTCTTTCCATTTTTTCACAAAAACACAATTTTCCGCAAAAATCGTACCTTTTGGCATTTTTTGACTTGTTAAGCTGTAAAGTAGGTGTTTGGAGATCTCTGACCGGATGTCAAGTTCTCTCCATCAACTATTCAAAGTACGGTTTGAATTTTGAATAAGATGAGTCTTTTGATGGCTCCCTGCAGATGTTTTGATCACGTCGTGCTCTCGTCGAACTCGAAGTTTCGCTTGGGTTAGCCGATTTCAGTAGCTTAACGTGTGCAAGATCGCCTTACCTTGTGATAAATCACAACAACGTGTTTAAAATCCCATGGGTGATTAATGTTAATGGGGAATTTTCTACAAAGAAAATGGCAACATTTTAGAAGAAACGGAGCTCGAGCCATGAATCTCTAAGACCAATTTAACTTCTTTCTTGGCTTAAATCGTATACACTTTTTTTTTATAAGAACAATTTTATAAGAACACAAGCCTCAAAACAGGTCAAAAGTTAAGAACAAATTAAGAACAAGCTGAGGCTGAGCTTCTGCAAAATGCAATTTTGAACAACGTTTTTTCTCAAAATCGAGGATTTTTAGCGATGCGTGGGTGCTTTTTCGGTGAATATTCAAATTTGTCAGCAAATTAAGGCTGTCTCACTCACTTTGTTGGCAAATGAACCCTAAACACCTCCTTAGAGTGAAAAAGCTAGCAAAAGCACTGCTTACACCCTCTAAATTTAAGAACAAATTAAGAACAATCCAGCCTCAGATTTTCGAAAAAATTAAGAACAGTCAGCCTGAGCTTAGATTTACTGGTTCTTATAAAAAAGAGTGTATTATCTTTATTAAAAACAGCGGCTTATAAAAGCAACTTTAAACCAAGAGCATAGTTTTTACTTTCTAATCACCGACCATTACCGCATTACATACGAATTCAATTATCCAATCAGATTTTATTTCTTCTGCCCTTACCGCCAGTATAGTTGCATAACTTTCGCTGTTTGTTGCTTTTCATTAATTTCGCTTTCTCATGTCTCATGCTTTATTTTGGTAAATTTCTAGCAATTTTAAAGATACATAATTGGTTTGCTTTAGTGTCATTTTTGACAGTATAAATATAGTTTTGTTATTATTTGTTTGATATAATGTTACTGGTCACCCCCAGAGGACCTCGATCTAGGCTAAGTTACGAATTCAAAATTTACAACATTGCCCATCGTTTGTCCCTGAAACTATGACATCTCTCCGCAGCGTACAGAGTAATATTGTGTTCTAACAAAGTGCTTTTGTTCATCCTTATCTGCCATGAAATTTCTAGTTAATTTCTTCATATTTAACTCTTTGGATCCAAAATCATGTATAGGCTCTGCATAATTTGCTTAGTCAGGATTCCGTGAAAGCTCGCTACATTTTCAGAGTGAAGCAGGTTGCAATCGCCCTAAAAATGTGATAAAGCAGAACTAGTTAGTTGCAGTCTCGGAGAGGCAATTCACTCTTGCAAATAGCGTACGAAATTTTCCCTAAAACAACAAAATTTCTGGGGATATCACAAAAGGTGTTTGAGATTTTCTTGGAGTGATTTGCCCCTGGGTAGTCTCGACGGATCTTGATCACTCACCGACCCTTTGTTTCGGGTCCGATTTTCTGATTTATTTTGCGATGTTTCCATGCTTATATAATTCCATCATATTGCTATTTTCGGCTATTTTCTTGTAAAAAGCATAAGCACAGGTGAAAACACGTGTGGTTCACCAACTTTTAAGATTACTTTGAAGGCCTTGTTTTGCAAGCTTTTTAGCGTTTTTGAAGAATAAAGTCGATGTGCAATGGCTCGAACTTTCAAAAGAAAGCAGTCATACTAACCCTGAACTTGCTAATTTCGAATTACCAAATGTTGGCCAAGACAGGAATAATTATGAATTAAAAAGGAAGCTTTAGATAGACACTCAAAAATTCTGATTATCAGGCTGTCAAGTTATGGGAATCTCTTTTATAAGTGTAAGTGATGGCTCCTTTTCGACCATTATTCATTTTTTTGAGATAGCAATTCGTGCTGCTTTGGGATGGCAGTCTGACCACTCAACTGCTTGTTTCGTGCCAATGTTTGATGCATTTGCGTGAGTCACAACATTAGTATTTTGAGACTTCTATGAAGTTTTTTTCTTCTTCTACCCATACCCACGCAATATCATTAAAATCGAATTTCATGCTCGCCAGGATGTAATTTCGAGATAATCGCACACGCGACATGAAATTCACCAGACCCGGTCTCATTTTTTCGTTAACATTTACGGCCTAGCAAACCTTCATTTGTTCAGAGAAAATTTGTTCGTCATGAATTTGCAGGCATTACATTTTGTTTAATGTTGATATTGGTTCTGTGTTCAATGTTTTGAAAAGCCCATTGGCCTTCCGAATTGGCTATCTGGCCACCAGAAAGGCTACAGAGTGGAATGTCGAACCGATTGCTAATTGCTGCACCTGTCCTGCCATGCGCGTGGATGAAGCTTGTCGAGAGCTAAGCCGTAATAATGGCGTCGACAAGAAACCCTCACGTGCACATCCGTTGTTTTGTTGCTTATTCATGGCTTCTTGATAAGAGACATGTATTTGTCACGTGCCATTACGCCTTGATAAAGCTTCATTAACAATTCGAGTGATAACTTAATGAAGAAAACGTCGTAAATACCTGATAATTCGACAGTAAAGACATTTTGTTGGCATTAAATATTTCCGTGATCTTGTCGATCAATAAACTTTCATTTTTCCACGGCAGTATTTTCGTTTAAATTGTAGAACGTGATTTAGAAAGTCTACGTGATTTTTTACTCTTTACTTTTTACTCCTGAAGATTTGAAATTGTTACTTGATTGATGCAAAATAATCCAAAAGTATCGGTAATTGTCAATCAAGTTTTTTGCATATGCAAATTTTAGAATGGACAATGACAATGTCGGCCTATAATATTGAGGGTGGGCTAATTAATGTGGATTAATAATTTCTCACAAGAAATACAACACTGTAGTAGCTGCATAATCTTAAAAACCTCATTATACAAGTCTGCTAGTCAAATCAAAACTGTGAGCAAATGATATCATCATCAAGTATTAATTAATAGAAAGGATCTGATTTTGGACGAATTTTTCCAGCTTAACTCATACAAATAGCGGCCATTTGATACGAACGGACGAAACTGCAGATATCTTTAAAGTGCGGAAAGTTCGAGTCGACGGACACCTCTTAACAGCAATCACGGAAATCTATAGGCAGGCTACCTCAAAAAAACTCAGACCCATAAATTGCACTTTAGGCACAGGCTCAATTCAAAAGCCATCTTTCTATGTTGCAATTGTTCAACAAGCGCCCGGTTTTACACATGTCCCAACGTTACACTAAAGAACTACATTTAAAATTTGCAATTAGCTTGAAATAAACGAATGTGTTTATTATGTGTAAGTGGACTGGAAAATTGTTACGAAGTGTGAATAATATTATGTGTAAGTGGACTGGTAAAATGTTACGAAGTGTGAATAATTCAGTAGATCATGAAAACTAAAAATTTGAATCGATCAGCAAACAATCTTCATAGGCAGAATAGCTTTGATGTTATTCATTGATAACAAGAAAGAATGAAAATAGAAGTGGTTCAAGATGACTGAATAATTCTGACAGCAATAGATCTATTTTTGATCGAGGCCTTGGAATGTTTTGTCAACGATCATTCAAAAAATTCAAAAAACTAAAATTCAAAAAACGTATTTTATTACCACTGGATAAAAAATGTTCTATTGCAAATGTGAAAGACGTACAAATTGTAAAAAAATATGCAGCCCAGAATTAGACACGAGAGCCTCAAAACCAGATTCTAGTGGAAGGGTTTCGCAAACCACACAGACGCCGTGTGTTTGCAACCTTGAATTTGCCTTAACTGCTTCAAAAACATTTTTCTTTCTTTAACTGCCCTTGTTACTACTTATTCGTGATCAGCGAAAAAAAGGTTACCAAGACTGTCTACAAGGATGATCTCTTGGCCTCTTTATGTTTATTTTATAGCAACATGGGACTTTCCTTAGACGGAAGCCAATAAAAGTGTATGCTACCGTAAAACCCTGCCGTTAAGCTTCACGTGAAAAAACTTGTTAGATAAATGACGTAGATCGAATGGGATTAAGAAAGATGGTTTGCCACCAGTTCAAAGTTGGTCTACCTACCGCGATCTGCGATACATCTCTGAATAGGTATCCTGAAAGCATATTATTTTGGGTAAAGACGCTAGGCAAATGCTAAACTGGAAAAGGAAAGTCATCAAATAGTTTTGATTTCTTTCTGTGCCGTCATAATAACGTAGACAATTCCCTTGAAACACGCTATTCCCTTTAAATGAGTTGTTGTTGAATTAATTGTTAAATTAATGATCCAGCAAGACCAGCTCAGAATCTTCCTTTCTGATAAATTAAGGTAATTCACTGTTGCCTAGAACAGTACAAATCAAGAGTCCAAAAGCAAAAACAACATATTTTCGTTGAAGTCCTTCGCGGGAGGCTGTTTGTCTTTCTCTTCAGATTTGCATTGTTTTTGAAACCAATAATTTCATTGCCATCTTTATTTTATCCTTGGAAACCTTTCCAATTTCTTACGTAACGAAGCCAAAATTCCCAAACCGCAATAATCCAACTAGAGAATTCTTAAAGATTTTTCCAATCCATTTTCCTTCTTAATTGGTAACACGATAAAACAGCAAATAATAAAATACAATAAATTCTATCAGTTTATGCTCTTTTACTTTACATACGATGGGTATACATATTTGTTTTTCTTTCAACCAATTATTGAACCTTAACACCAATCCTCGATACCATTTTATTTTCCATAATCAATTCATGTTCAAATTTTTATTAAAAATTGTGAAGCTTTTTTTCCATTGTTTTACTGTCCAGTTATACTCAAGTTTGTCTGTCAAAAGTACTTGGAACACCCAGCAATTTACGCTGCATTTGATGTCTTTCATTCCTTTCATGAAAAAAAGATTACTTCTTCCGCCCCCTATTCCCCTAAAGTAATGTTGACGATTTAGAGAAATATCATAAAAGAAGCGCAAAAGGAAGTGCTTCCTAAAATCCTAACCCGTTTGATAGTAAACCAACATTGTTCTGAAGGGGAGAGGGTGATGATTGATTTCGACCTTGGAAATTGACGTCAGTGTTCCAAGACTTTTGGCAGGCATTGTAATTGCTTTCTTAACATAGATCTTTCAGGTTATTATCTCTCACCCTCTATCATAACAGGAGACTCTTTCCGTCCTGATCTTCGCCTATTTATACTCGAGCTTACAGTAAGATACGAAACAAATTTGGGTGTTAGTGCTAACCGCATCTCGTTTACAGCCTAAGCAACTCAGCCTATTCTTCTATCATGTTTGTTAATCCTTCTATCAGTTCTCTAGGTATCTTTTGTCTCTCCTTTTGGTCTCTCGTGCAACGCTCTAGATATCAGCGAGAATCATCTCCGCTTCACGATCTCCAAACTATCCAACTTAACTATCCGTACTTCTTATTACATTTTAAGCCACAGAAATATATCTTGGAATAATCCTGAACTTCTTCAATTCTAACGGTCTCTGCTACTTACAACTTCTAAAACAAACAGAGACGAACACACTTTTTCCTTTTTCTCTTTCTTAATTTATTTTGTTTGTGCTTGTAATAGTCTTTTTCTTTTTCTTTGTAAACCCAGGCTAGCCAAATTCACATTACTTTTGTAAAAGTGAAATTTGTAATTGTGGTTTTATGTAGTTGCATTGAAAATGAAGGGCTCCATATTATTATAAAACAATTGTTTCGTAAATAAATTTGACGAAGTGCATGTCCTAACCATCTAAGTTGATGTTTTTCGATTATCTTGCTCCATGGAGTTTCATTGGTTTCATTTTTTCAAAAGCGTGGTTTCCCTAAAAACATATCAGATTGAAAATATTAAGAATACTTTAGGAATACAGTCAAGCTCAAAACGAAAGTTTCTCAAGAATATCGAGGCTGTAAAATATTTATAGTATTCTTGTAAAAGGAGTGTAGCGACTTTCTTTTCAATTAGCCGTTTAAAGAGCTTCTTTTTTTGCCAACTATGAACAAAGAGATAAGTCTTCAAACACTCTATGCCTTTCTTATTTATCATTTCACGACTTGTAATCAAGAAAGTCGACAATTTTACCTGCATTTTTGCAGTGCATCACCACATATTACTCACCGTTATCGAGCAAATACTGAAAAGTGAAACCTCCTTAATAGCGCGACGAGACATCCAAAATTAGGCTTAGGCCAGTTTCTGCTGTCAAGATATTACTTAATTATTAATCTTCGAATAAATATTGGTTAGTTACCTTGCCAATATTTGAGTTATATTTTTGCTAGAATTAACAGATCGTGAGCCATTCATTCAGAAGTAAGAATGTTTGACAAGAGTCGCAAACACATAATTCAAGATTTCTTTTTCAATTCAATTTTGTATTAACAATAATATATATTGCGTACCTTTAGTTACAAAGTCGAAAATTTACTGCTCATTTTGAACAAATGCAACTTCGAGTTTGGATATAAATTATCAATAACTACAAGAATTTCGCAAGCAAAAGGTTAGACAACTTACGATGCACGTCTCTTGGACCTAATATTATTTCAAAGTTACAGTTTAATCACGTTAAGACAAGGAAATAAGTCCGACTTAGTGAATGTCCGACTAACCCTGGGTACAATTTTTTACTTGTATAAAGTAGGAAAATGCAACCTTAACATCATCCGAGTTTTCGGGGAAACAAATTAACGAGATACAACTGTACGTTATGACTAAAAATAGAGGGCGTTGCCCGGTTTGCTCCAACACCTTAGTGGAAATCAAACGACACTACATGCAACACAAAAAGTACCACATTTTCTTGACCGGACCGGTTCCTTTTTTTATCACGAGGGCCATGTCACTCCATGGAAATCTAGTAGCTACTACATGTTTGAAATCTAGTAGCTACATGTTTGAAATCTAGTAGCTGAAGTCTATTTTTTCTGCGAAATTTCTAGAAATACTTTATTCCGGAAATCAGGTACATTTTTGAAGAGTGAAGGTTGTGTTAAATAAACGTACTTTGAATAAGAAGTCGATATACCGTTTGATTGATTAAATTATATACAGTGTTAACAGTAATAATTGCCAAAAGTAAAAAATTGAAGACATTAAAACACAACAGCAATTTGATTCAATTTCATTTTGAATGAACCAAAAGTAGGCAGCCCCTGATATTTGTCCAACGTAAGTAAAATAATCTTGCGCTTTTAACTGAGACAAAAGCAACTTATTACCACCATTTTGATTTGGAAACGATAACGATATGAATTTTTTGGATACGCTACAAACATCGGCAATCTGCAAATTGTGCTTTTATGCACGCATTGTTCCAAAAACATAATTGCGTTTAATTGGATATTTGAAAATGCGTGCCACCCGAAAGAAAGAAAATTGCCAAAATTCCTTGGAACAAATATCATTTTGTTGCAAGGGTCAATTGGCCTAAATTTTCTTACAAATAGTTGTAGCGTCCTTCTTAAACCCAATATGGTCTATTCAGGGACAATTTTCCTAAAATCTTAAGCATACCATCATTTTAACGAAGGAATCATTAAAGACGATTTGATTCATTTAAATACACGAAGAAATTGTAGTTGAACCCGAAACCATCATTCCGGAGAAGATGGCAAATCCTTGGAGAAGAACGGCATACAAATCTAACTAAATCTTTTACTCATTATGAGAGCCAACTTTTTAAAGTTGACCGGGCCCCTCAGACGATTTACTTTGCGCAGCATAAGATTCACCGATTCTTGATCATTAGTGAAATAGCTCCCTTTAAGCCAATAGCAATTTATAAACGCATATAGACATAACAATAACAGTGAAATGATGAGACCTTCGCTTCCTCTTCATTTCATGTTTGGAAGAAAATTACATTTCAAACTGTGCATTCCCAACAATTTTTAACAATTCTTCAATCCAAATATTCACCTTCTGGCGTAATTTAAGCACGTGTAGTTGTTTGGCATGCGAGTTTCTCTTGATGGATGCTAGCCATTTGCTCTTATCTCGCAGTCGTTCTGCTCAAACCAGCTATCTTAGACACGACAGAACTGATGTTTCGCTCACCACACAGAGGTCAGGAAGCTCAAATTTGTCGTTGTCAAGTCCTAAAGAATACGCTAAATCTAACAGCGCATCTTCATCAATGAAGCAATCCGCGCTGTCGAGAACGGCTGCAAGCGACTCATGCATTTCATCTCCAGCGTCTTGTTCAATTTCACGATTAAATTCGATGTTATTGTTGTTATTATTATCATTGTCTTTTAAACGATCATAGACAGAAAATCGACGGTCTGTTGTGTCCATCGCAGCATAATTGCTGAATTTCGGATTGCACCAAGCGTTCTGTGCACATCGAGTTATTGTTTGAATTAGTTTTGAATGCGGCACAGGTGCACAAATCTGCGTCGACAGTGGAGAACAAATTTGCGACATATCTCTCGGCTTCGTTGCACCCGCGTGTTGCACCTCTTTGTAATAATCTGTATTCCAGCCAATCTCCTTTGTCTACGTACGCTCTCCTTGATAATTACACCAGCAATGGTTTTATAATCAGCTCCGTTTTTTATCAAGGTAAAAACTAAAACCATAAACAACGTGATTTCAGCTTGTGGCCCCGTCGCTCGCTCCACGTGTATGCTTTTGCAAAGACCCCTTGTAAGCTAACTCCGATATTATCTGTCAATAAAATTATCCTTGATTAAAAATCAATTCATAGAAAGCAATGTAGTTCTTTCTAATTCCTTTGCAAAATTTTTGCTAAGCTTAGCGACCCTATGTGCTATAATTTGACCTAGCTTTCTGGCCATAAAACCTCAAATCCAAGATTAACAATTTGTTAACTAAAAATTTTATCCGAAATAAACTTCCTAAAATTCGGGACTTAATTTCAGCTTGCCAATTAGCGATGCTTTTCTTCACTTTATTGCTGCAAAAGTTAATTTGCGATAAAAATTATTTTTCTCCAAATAAACTGTGGTTACTGATACATCACCCTGGAAATTGTTAAAAAGTATTAAATACATTTTATACTGCACCAGCAATTTTCATGAAAAATAGACGAACGAAACAACTCTCACCAACGCTTCCCAATACGTCAGATTCCTGCAGCCTTTTAACAGCAAACTGTTACAATTTTCAATCTTTTCTTTAACTGAACGTGTAACTCTTCTTTGTGGCAAATATCTGCAGATAACCTTGAATTCTACAACTTGCCAACTCAATAACTTATCTGAAATATAACTTGAATTCGGCAGCTCTTGATCCTCAACAAACAGCTTCGGCACTGGCGATCAGAACCCGTTCGCGCTATATTTCATTAGCAAACTCTGCCTTTGAAGAATCTTAGTGCTTGAGCAAATTGTTGAACGCGCTTGGCAGCTGTCAAACAAAACACCGAGCAAGATGTAAACACATTTTAAAAATTATTCAAAAGCCATGCACACCTGTAGAGCAGATCTTTAATTGTACGTGAAAGCCCAAATTGTATTTACGATTGTCCACTTGTGTTTTCCTTGTTCCAGCCACCAGCGTGCACGTGGTGTTGTCACAAGATCCATTAAAGGCCTCGGGGAGAAAAGAGGATTCGCGGGTGCACTACTATATGCCCGCCAGTCCCCAGGGCACCCTTACGTCAAATCATAATTATTTTTGCCAAATTGTTAATAAATGGCTTTCTGGTAATTACATAAACGGTATGCGTGATTAAGAAGGGATAATCGAGGATAAGAAATTATTACGAAATTAGGTTAAAATGGCCCCAGGTGGACAATCTGGCTCTTTTGCCTGCTTACTTTATTTTCAGACCAGTGGAATCCGAGTTTCATTGGCAGTATGAATATAAGAATATATGAATATAATATAGGAAAAAATGAATATAAGTCGGCAACAGAGTGACCTTTTCCTAACTTGAGCGTGCTTTGATGGCCCATGGCTAAAATTTTGCCTCTTCCTAATTTTTAAAAACATTCTTTCATGGCGTCATCATTTTATCGTGTAGACATAATCAGTTTAAATCCAGGAAAAATTCAATCTACACTAAATATTCAAGATGAAGAAAGCCATAAAATGTTTTATATTGAATGAATGCAGTTTTCAATAGTCAACTCTGAAGTCATCATTTGCCATAAAAACTGCTAAAAATTTAGCCGAGAAAGCATCAGAAAAATCAATGGATAAAAAATTGGTAATCAAACCTTGGTGTTAAACAATTTTCAAGTTTAAATGATTGGCCAATGTTTCTCCTCCGTGAGAAATCTTTTAGCAGAGAATTTGCGTCGTGTTGCTGCACCATAAATTTCTGTTTTAATTTACTTTACTGAGAAATTATTTATTTGCTACGTACGTAGTTAAAGATGATTAATTATTAAAAAATGGAAATCGATTTATGGTAATTCGTTCCCAAAAACAAACATTACTGCATGAGTTCTCATGATAGAAATGACGTCGTTGGAAACCATTGAAGCTTCGTTTTCGACATCGACGTCCGCCAAGAAGCCAATCTAAATCTCGGACGGTTTTTGTACATGTGGCCAGGTTGTTGCGACATATTATGCTTTGCGAAAGCCCACAGTATTATTTGTATGAACAAGATTACTAAAATTCTTTCGTTTTTATTGTTTTTCGTTAAAAACCTTCCCGACCCCAAGAGATCTTGCCATTCAAACAGAAAATACCATTCCTAGTCAAATGATGCTAGCAGTTGATAATGTCCTAAGATCCTGTCTATACGGATGTTTTTTTAAAAAGCCTTGGTTTCCGTTCACGTCCACACTACGGTACCATTACATACGCGGTTGAAGTTTTTCCGCTTTTAAAGGTGTTCTTTCTGAAAAATCTCCAGTTTCAATCATTTCATGTGATTGCACACTTCTTTAACAAATTTGAATGTAAAATTAAGAGAAATTGGGGGGGGGGGGGCTGGTTTTATAAATTGGGTATGAACAGAGTGTTGTTAGCTGTAAGTATTTTTTAGCCTCCATTTGTAATACACCGATATTTTGATATGGCAAAATGGTGTCAACCGTTTCTAAAAGAAGTATTATTTCATTTCCTTGAAATTAAAGTTATCTTTAAAAGGCTGTGTTGCGCGCTGCAAAAAGATTGTTTTTCTTTCATTCTAAATTTGTGCTTGCAATAGCTTTTTCTTGTAAATCCAGCCTTCCAAGTTGCAATTTACTGTTGTGACAGTGAGATTTAATTATAATTATCCGTAAGTTCGACCTCTTACCTTTTAATAGTAATTTTTGATGGTAAATTCAATGGTATAACGGAAAATGTAATAGGCAATGCCAATGAATAAACACGTGCGTAAATGTGATGCATCAGATAATTGATTTTCCTCTGAAAGTCCCAAGCAAAAACATCTTATCTGTGATAAAAGGCCTGTTTGATATTTAACTAATACTATTTATAGATCTTTTTTATGAATTTGAAGCTAGAGCTGCAGCTGGAGCTACTGGAATCATTTGAAGGATTGATGGGGGGTCATAAATCGTTACTTTTGATGGAGAGAAAGTTTTTAATTTTTAATTTACTGAAACTTACTTTAGAGTGAAAATTGCCTGCTGGCTTTCTTATTAGAAACTCACGCAATTATGAAAATGATTCTATTTTCATATTTAGGTAACTTTGCTACTTTATTGAGTTTGAAAACCATAATTAAAAAAACACACCCATACATGATCATAATTTGTTCTTACTAAATATGTATATTATTTGTTGTATAACACACGGAATCTCATAAAATCATTTTCTCAAAATGCCAGTGACCGAACACGTGATTCTATTTTTATTATTCAAATCAAAATTACGAAATTTGGAACGTGCTTTTTCTTTGTGCACCGAAAAAACATTGCTTTGAATTCAAATGAATATTTCTTTAATTTATTTAAAGTTGCTTAAAATTTGTTTGTAACCAGCCATGAAATTTAAAGGATCAAAGCCGAAGTTAGATGTTGGTGGTTGGTTTCTAGCCCTGTCCAAACACTCCTTATACTTAATCCAACATTGCTGGTTGTTGTTGGCCCATTGTTGGCACAACAGGTGACCAAACGCTACCGAAGTTTGGAACCAGCATCTGCACGTCATGGATTAGAGTGCATGCGTGAGCGTGTGGCAGTTAGACTTACTCTATGAGCCTCTGTTTCGCTACTGCCTCACTTGACCAATGATATACAATGCCTGCCTGCCAAAAGTCTTGGAACACTGACATCAATTTCCAAGGTCAAAACCAATCATCCCCCTCTCCCCCACGGAACAATGTTGGTTTACTATCAAACGGGTTAGGATTTTAGGAAGCACTTTCTTTTGCGCTTCTTTTATGATATTTCTCCAAATCATCAACATTGTTTGAGGGGGAAGGGGGCGGAAGTAGCAATTTTTTTCATGAAAGGAATGAAAGATATCAAATGCAGCGTAAATTGGTGGGTGTTCCAAGTACTTTTGGCAGGCATTGTAGAAGCGCCGAAGGCGCTAGATGTCTAACTCACAGGTACTCTGTGAAGCAAATTTGTTTACTTTCGCCATTTTGAAAAGTGGCAAAAAGGAACTTGTTCCATACTGAGCCCTTATAAATTTGGTAAAAGTAAGGATTGATTTCGTTCCATTCTCTTTCGAATATCGATGTGAAATTTGGTGAGTGGCCTTATATTGCACTTAAATTTATGAATTGATGTTAATATTGAAAAAATAAGCAGTCATTCGCAAATTCCAATCATTTACAGTCGCGGTGCTTGCTGTGGTGTTTTCTGTCTCGTCGAAATTCCAGAAAATAATGGTTGATCTGTTTTAAAACGGATCCAGCAACAATGTTTAGCCACTCAATGCATAATTTTCTTGACATATTTGTACAAAGATGTGATTTAGTTACTTTTTCTATCTTTGTTTACAGAAACTGCTATAAAATATCTAGGCCTAACTCTAGAAAAAGCTGAAAATAGGTCATAATTCAATGCTTAGATATTAATAACAGAGTTTAAATATAGCAACCATTTTTTTATTTTATACAATCATTGATATTTTTAGACTATTTGAAAACCCCACTCGTTGCTTGTAATAATTCTTCGGCACAATGCGTCCTTCCCCGCATCTTTAGGCCTATAAAATACCTCTGGGGCCAGTGGCGGCCTGGCAGGGGGGGGGCCGGGGGGCCAGGGCCTCCCAGCTGAATTTTTTATAGGAGCGCCAAAGCTTGTATAGAGCGCCAAAAACTCGAAAAAAAGTTTGATACGATTGACTTGTCTGATTATTAGGTCTCTAGACGGTCAGCAGAGACAAAGAAGACGTCTTGAAATTCAAAACTTTCTTGTTGCGTACGCTGCCATAACCCCTCGAACAGTCTCACTTCAAGGGCACGTCTTTGTGCCCCTTCAGTACTGTATTATCCAGACAAAACATTTGTACTGTTCCCAGGGGTGAAAAAATTAATCAATTTTTTAGAGGATTGTCAGGAAACTTACAGTTAAATTCTTTTGTGTGTAGAACACATCACTTATAGTGCACACAGACTTTGTTTAGGGTGTCGGGGGACAGTCTGTGCTTAGGATGTTCGGACTCATGCCCCCCTTCCAGGGAAAATTTTGATTTTCGACGAGTCTCTTTGGCTCTGCTGTCCTTCAGAGACCTGCTCATGTGGGGGTCAGTAGATTTTGTCTCTTTGCTTTATTTTTAATGGAAGAACCAACTTGTCTCGATGATTCAACGATAGGGTGGTTTTTTTCCCTATTACAAAGTAATGAAATCCATTTTAAGACTGGAATTAATCAAACGTTGCTAAAAGGGTGCCTTAAAAATAGCAAAATTTTTAAAGGATTTCAAGAAAATGGTTGCAAGAAATATTTTGAAATGTTTTTTTAGCCAGTTTAAAGGGCATGGTCGCAAAAATTTTCTGCTCGCTCCTCTCGCAAGAAAGCCTCTTTTATTCAGAGTTATACCAAGGGCCTCCGGCAACCTCTCGTCGGCCTTTCCCAATGTTGGTTTTTTAGTCAAATAAAGCTATTAACTCGAGCCCTTTGAATTTCTTGGTACCGCCCCTGTACTGCCAATATTTTCAGGAAAAAGATAATAGTGTTAGTTATGGAGGACTTCTATATCATTGCACTTGACAGACGCTACAAGTTGTCCTGAGCGCCAGTTTTTGAGTACTTTAGATTACGAGTCTCGGTTGTAGCGTCAGTTAAATGACGCAGTAGCGAAACAGAGGCTCATTGAGTAAGTCTTTGTGGCGGTAAAATCCCTCCATTTTTCTGCGCAAGCGCAGAATTGCATTATTGCAAAATGCGGCAAAACCATTCGGTAAATAACACAACCAGCAAGAGCCAACAACACTTGGAGTAGTTGAGTCCATGGTCCCATGTATCCAGCGTTATCAACCATCTGTTTCAATAGAATCATATATACCAATCATCAACAAACCAAACAACAAACAGCAAAAGTTTTGGCGAAACCAATTCACCTCATTTGGCGACAGAGTGTCAGGAGTCAACCCTACTCCATGAGCAACTGTTTTGCTACTTCCAGCACGGGGTAAAATTGTGTTGCACATGCCCATAAAAATCACAGGGTGCTAAGGTTTTTTAAGCCTGCGATAACAAAAGCTGCTAGTTTCCCAAAAAAATATTGAGTGATGTTAAAAGATAAACTATTCTTGCTTCTGTTGATGTACTGAGAATTCTATTAATTTTGAACGTAAACCGAAGTAATGCATTTTAGTTGTTGATATACAGTATTCTCTCCAATTAACGGACACTCTAAAAAGCGGACACCTCTGATTAGCGGACAGATTTTTTTCCCCATTCGTTTTCAGGTCAAAGTCTCATAAAAACTTTCTAAAAAGCGGACACTTAATTAGCGGACACTCTAATTAACGGACAATAGTTTTTGCACAAAATAGTCAACTTGGCTTTTTTCACTTCAATTAGCGGATATTAAAAAAAAGTTAGGATTATGAGAACAAAAACTGAGACGAATGACTATTTGTTCAAATATCTATTTCAAACACTTTGACTTTTGACAATCTAGTTGGTTTTTTACTGCTTTGAGCTTCTTTACAGCCCATTTTA